AATCACCGAATATAATAACATAACTACTCAATATAATGACATAACCACCCAATATAATAAAAAAAAGTATCATAAGACAGTTCTGGCGTTCCATAAAATACCTCTAAACTTTTAGCTACTTACATTCTCGTACTGATTTTAATCGGTTTTCATCGCTTCAGTGCGCTTGAATTTTCAGAGTCGGGCTCTTCCTAATTTGCATAATCCGTAATCGGCCTGTGGGCATTACGGCTGCATAATGACCACTCAGATCTCGCTCTTAGCCAACCAGAGTGCACGTTATATCGGCCACAAGCCAAAGCCATATAATAAAATGACATAACCACCCAATATAATAAAAAAAAAGTATCATAAGACAGTTCTGGCATTCCATAAGGTACGGTGTTATGGGTTACAGCCCTTATTGACAGCCCTGATTCCACTTCCTCAAGTCACAAATTCCCCAAGGAAGAAAACACAACTTTCATTTTGTATCTAGACGTTAGCTTAAGTAAGCAAATAAAAATAGACTAACTTTGAGGATTCTTAAATTCTGTAAGCTTACATGTAAGCTTACTGTATACCTGCGTAACAATTTTTTCACAGAGTTTGGTACAAGATCTCACGATATCTTACTGATTCGTCATTTCATTCATTCCGATATGAAACCATGCATGAACTAAGACAATAAATATACTTTATACTAGTCGATCAATTGCTAGAAAATGAAAGTTTCACATTGTACATGTTTTATTATATTGTAAGCTTATACCCGGGCTTACATATATAACCCGAGTAAACAAGCGAGCAGATGTCAATCTTGTTTCAAACATCGCATTAGATGCCTTAGTTTTTCAAGATGGCACCCTGGAAAATCGTTCTTAGAAGCCTGCAACCAAATAACTTTTATTGCATCAAAATTTAGAAAACGCCAAATTAAAACTGTGTTCTAACCTGCACCGTTGCGTCGCTAACTTTAGTCGGCATCAAGCGGTACATGTTGTTTTGCATTGCATTAAACTCGTTCATCGCAAAATCCAGCGCATCAAGTACATCAGGATCATCGTGTTTTCTCTCCTCTATTCCTCCTGCCAAGGTATCAGAGCCAAGACAAGAAGACATCAACATTATTCCTAAGAAAGCGTACAACAACGCCATGTTTTGTTCAGAGCAGTTCGTGCCAGCCTCTGTCACATGATTTCCGTGAGCCGATGACGTCACAGCAAAAGCTTTGAAAGGCACGCAATTCGTACAAAATGTAGTTTTGGCGGGTAGAGACGGATTCCGCTAACGTGTTTACATCCTTGTTGCCACCCAATTCAGGCCACGTTACGATTCATTTGGGGGTCAGAATTGTGCAGTTTGCCACACATAACTAATTGCATGAGAGCATGCACAAACAGAACAATTGTAACCTCCCGGTTTCGGCTACTTTTTCAGTGTTTGAATTAAGTGGGGCTATATTTCAGCCAGAAAGCTTGAAACCGAGCATTCAATTATTTTTCCCCTGTCGATTTCACTAAAACCCAAGGTCATCCCGAGTTAGTTTAGAGTCCCTGAAAGTGGGGAATATCGTCCAAGTTCTTCGAAATCAAGCCTAAGTCGGTCAAAATCAAGGTGCACGTAAGCCAGTCTCGGCTACTTCAGTGTTTAAATTAGGTGGGGTTCTATTTCGCCCAGCAAGCTCCAAACCGAGCGTTAAAATCTTTCCAGGAACTTGGGCAATATTTCCCAGCCCTAGGGACTCTAAACTAATTCGAGAATACTTTGGTTTTCAGTGAAATGGACAGAAAAAAAAAAAAATTTCAATTCTTACTTATGACCAGTCTGGCCAAAATATAGCCCCTGTTTAACTCATTCACCATTTCACCAACTTTGGCTCGATTTCCAGGAACTTGGGCGATATTTCCCAGCCCTAGGGACTCTAAACTAACTCGAGAAGACTTTGGTTTTCAGTGAAATGGACAGAGGAAAAGGTTTTGAACGCTTACTTATGAGCAGTCTGGCCGAAATATAGCCCCTGTTTAACTCACTTAGTGACTAGAAAGTCGCCGAGACCGGGCTACACGCAGCGTGATTTTCACCAACTTTGGCTCGATTTCCAGGACCTTGGGTGATATTTCTCAGCCCTAGGGACTCTAAACTAATTCGAGAAGACTTTGGTTTTCAGTGAAATGGACAGAGCAAAAATTTTTGAACGCTTGCTTATGAGCAGTCTTGTCGAAACATAGCCCCTGTTTAACTCACTTAGTAACTAGAAAGTCGCCGAGACTGGGCTACGCGCAGCGTAAATTTCACCAACCTTGGCTCGATTTCCAGGAACTTGGGCGATATTTCCCAGCCCTAGGGACTCTAAACTGTTTCGAGAAGACTTTGGTTTTCAGTGAAATAAAAAGGGGAAAATAATTCAACGCTCTTTTCGGGCTTTCTGGCCGAAATATAGCCCCAGTTAATTTTAAGACTGCAAAAGTAGCCGAGGCCGGGTTACACGCACAGTGATTTTGACCAACTTTGGATTGATTTCATGAAACTTAGGGAATATTTTATAGTCCCAGGGGCTCTAAACTAACTCGTTATGGCCTTGGTTTAAAGTGAAATGGACAGAGGAAAAATAATTGAACGCTCACGTATGGGCTTCCTGGCCAAAATATAGCCCCGCTTAATTTTAAGACTGCAAAAGTAGCCTAGAACGGATTACGAGCACCGTGATTTTCACCAACTTTGGCTTGAATTCCTGGAACTAGGGGGATATTTTCTAGTCCCAGGGACTCTAAACTAACTCGTGATGGTCTTGGTTTGCAGTTAAATGGAGAGGGGAAAAATAATTAAACGCTCACTTTCGGGCTTTCTGGCCGTGATATAGCCCCACTTAATTTTAGGACTGAAAAAGTATCCGAGACCGCGTTACACGCAGCATGATTTTTGGCTTGATTTCCTGGAACTTGGGGGAAATTTTCTAGCCCCCGGGACTCTAATATAACTCGTGATGGCCTTGGTTTGAAGTGAAATGGACAGGAGAAAAATAATTGAACGCTCGGTTATGATCTTCTAGGCCGAAATGTAGCCCCACTTAATTTTAAGACTAAAAGAGTAGCCGAGACCGCCTTACGCGCGCGGTGATTTTGACCAACTTTGGCTTTATTTCCAGCAACTTGGGGGATATTTTCCAGTCCCAGCGACTCTAAACTAACTCGTGATGGCCTTGGTTTAAAGTGAAATGGACAGGGGTGAAATAATTGAACGCTCCCTTTCGGGTTTCCTGGCCAAAATATAGCCCCACTTAATTTTAAGACTGCAAAAGTAGTCGAGAGCGGCTTACCCACCCCGTAATTTTGACCAACTTTGGCTAGATTTCCTAGAACTTAGGGGATATTTTCCAGTCTCAGAGGCTCTACACTAACTCGTGATGGCCTTGGTTTGCAGTGAAATGGACAGGGAAAAATAATTAAACGCCCACTTTAGGGATTCCTGGCCCATAAATAAGCCTACTTAATTTTAAGACTGAAAAAGTAGCCGCGACCGGCTTACGTGCACTGTGATTTTCACCAACTTTGGCTGGATTTCCTGGATCTTGGGCGATATTTTCCAGTCCCAGAGACTCTAAACTAACTCGGGATGGCCTTGGTTTGCAGTGAAATATTTCGGGCTTGTTAGCTGAAATATAGCCACACTTCAATTTAAGACTCCAAAATTAGCCGAGACCGGCTCACGCGTACCATGATTTTGACCATCTTTGGGTTGATTCCCTAGAATATGGACGATATTTTCTAGTTCCAGGAATTGTAAACGAACTCGTGATGGCCTTGGTTTGCAGTGAAATGAATAGAGTAAAAATAATTGAAAGCCCACTTTCGGGTTTCGTGACCAAAATATAGCCCAACTTAATTTTAAGACTGAAAAAGTAGCGGGGACCGCCTTACACAAAGCGCGATTTTGACCCACTTTGCCTTGATATCCTAAAAATGGGGCGATATTTTCCAGTCCCAGGAAGTCTAAACTAGCTTGTGATGACCTTGGTTTGCAGTGAAATTGACGGGGGTTAAATTATTGAACGCTCGGTTTCGAGCTTCCTGGCCGAAATATAGCCTCACTTAACTTTAAGATTGAAAAAGTAGGCAAGACCGCCTGACGCCCAACGTTATTTTGACCAGCTTGATTTTCTGGAACTTGGGGGATATATTCCAGTTCCAAGGCCTCGAAACTATCTCCTGATGACCTTGGTTTGTAGTAAAATTGACAGGGGTTAAATAATTGAACGCTCGGTGTCGAGCTTCTAGGCCGAAATATTGCCAAACCTAATTTTAAGACCGAAAAAAAAGCCGCGACGGCCTTACGCGCAGGGTGATTTTGACAAACCTCGGATCGATTTCCTGGAGCTTGGAGGATATTTTCCAGTCCCAGGGACTCTAAACTAGCTCGTGATAACCTTGGTTTTCAGTGAAATAGACAGAGGAAAAACACTTTTTTTGAACGCTCGGTTTCGAGCTTCTAGGCCGAAATATAGCCCCACTACACTTAAACTCTTATGAGGGTTTGTCTTGCAGAGTGGTTCACGAGGGGCACTGACAGAGAAGTTTGAGGTTAAGACCGGGGTGAGGCAGGGATGCCTGCTGTCACCCTTTCTGTTTATCTTGGCTATAGATTCGATCATGAGAGCTGTCACAAACCAGAAAAGAAACGGGATCCAGTGGACCTTGTGGTCGCAGTTGGACGAC